CATTTTCAGCTCTTTGGGTACTACTGTCCTTGGAAAAGTAACCATGTTGTTTCTCATCGAGGACAACTCATTCTACCTGATCATTACAAAATCATCCAGTTGAGCAAGTGTGTTTCATCTGATGAATAAAGTTATTAAGAATATAAAGAGAGTCTTATTACTAAGTTTCAAAAATATATGGACTAAAATATGGAAATACATTTCTAATAGCAAAGTTAAAACACGTGCTCTAGAAAAATAACACACTATTTTCATAGATTTTCTAACACCAAAATTTTATTCAAACAAATCAGAAATCAGGTAATACAGCTGCTAATCATTAATTACAGGAAGAAAGAAACATAGTAATAGCACTTGCAAAGAACAAGAACAGCCCTTGTCTTCAAAAAAATGTATAATGGAAGCTAGATTCCCACACAAGTTCAGCATCTAGTCCAAACATCAGCACTCTTCACTCTTTCCTTGATTTGGAAATTATCTAGTAGACATCTTTCCTCTCAACCTTCTACAATCTGCAAGTGAAGTTTTTAAAACTCAAATTAGTCAATCCACGGTTTGCAACAATATTGAATACTAAGCATGAAATTCCAAAAGGACACTGAGGATGAGACTGAGAACGCTTTAGAAAAGTGAAAAATATAAAAACAAGAGACATAAGCTCAAGACTCACTGTGATCCTACCAGGAAATCTAAATATTGCCATCTATTTCTCAGTATGTTATTAGACCATTTTACAGATGAGGAAATAACATTTACCCTCTCTCTTGGAAGTTTTTGAGATGCACAGTCTATATCTCAAAGGAAAAAAGTATTCATACAATTTCTGTAATATTTTTAAGCATTTTGAGAAACAAGGGAGTACAGAAGAGAAACAAGAGTGACTGTTTGACCTTGAGCTTGGATCCTAACAGTTCACATTCATGGTTCAGTCCCAAGTAACAAGTATTGTACAGTACAGTAAGTCACCGAAACAGATTTTCCCAAGATAATGCCCCTATTCAGCAGCATGTAAGTAGAACAATTTATTTTGCTCTGCTTAACTGCTTCACCCACACATTTGACATTAAGCTTCAGGCTTCCTGACTGAGCAGTGAACATGTAGGACATAATCAATGTTGTGCAGTTATGCATCACTTCCCACAGTCTTGCTGATTCAGGCATTTCAGAATAAACATGAATCAAGTTTTTGATCTAAAAACACAAGTTTGAAAACATATTTTTCAACTCTTGTTTAGCATTTCTTCTCATCACTCCCCTTAAAAACAAGTTCTACTTTTACATATTCCTGGTTTCTAAATATTTTGGTGCAAGTAAAACTCAAGATTCTTTACGATAAGAAAATGTCCAACAGATGAAAATCTCAAAAGATGTTAATAATAATGCGGCAGTTTTCTTCCATGAATATGTGACAGAACTTGAGTCACAACATTCTGCTCTGCAAACCACACGCACGCACGCGCAGTGACGTTACTGAGAAAGATTTGAAAACAAAAAGAACACCAAGATTTAGTTGTATAGGTCCACAATGAGAATTCTGGCTTACCTTGCTCATTTGCCTCCTACTTCCCTCTAATAAGGAGCCTCTCTCCCTCATGATACTCCCAGAGTCTCCCCTAAGTAATTCTCAGGCTTCAGTTTATGAACCAATCTCTGAAAATTTCCAAGCATCCAGGCTTACAGCTTTTCTACTCACTAAACTACTGCTAGATTCAGAAATGAATTTACCAATATTAATTTTCCACTAACAGATGTAACAATAGGAATGACATTGTATTAAGAGGAATGGGAGTGGGGGAAAAGTATCAGTAACAAATGCTGATTTTAACAAAATATGATCTTAGATATGAAAAACGCCTCCCTCATATGTGGTCAAATACACACAAAATGAAAGACTAATTCATACCACTACCAATGAAACCTCATTTATCGTTTCATTATAACATACAAAAGGCGCAAAAAGTAAAAACAATTGCATTCACAGTGTTTAACACTGTAACTCCAAAGAAAGTTTCTCTAAGGTACAACTGCCACAATAGATATTTCACAAGAAGCATCCAAGGATAGTCCAGAAATGCACTTACAGCTCAAAAAACCATCAGGAAGCTGAACTTACAGAAAGGTAGTTTAAAAAATACCTTTTAGAGACCATACAACAACTCCATGGGATCCCTTCTAACATTCTAAAGTAAAACTGTAAAATGGAAATACAATAAAGAAACAAGTGAAATAGAAGTCACTGTACAAAAGTGGAAACAAAATTACTGTCCCACATATGTCAATTAAAGAAAATTTCTACCTCACATAGCTCATTTCTCCATCATATACAAAATTGAGAACAGCATACTACAGATGCACAAATAAACTAACTGCAGCTTTGCACAACATATAATGTTCAGTCTCAAAGTCTGAATGAAAACTGGTCCCCCTTCTTCTGGACTGCAGCTTTTGCTTCCTGGCTGCTTCAGAAACAGACTGATGTTTATAAATTTTCTACATCAGATTCTAAAAATAATTTCTAATTTATATAGAAGCAGTTAATAGACTTCCTGTTTTACAAATAAGCAATGTGCTATTTCCAATTGCATTAAATTCCGTTAACAATTATGAAGTTTAACAATAGCCTTTCAGGTTTGTTGTCTTCCTTCAAATGTTTATAAACTATGCAGTGATTCCTAAACAGCTCAGAATCAACTAAAGAATTCCTCCGTTGTTGAGATTTCTTCACAGAATTATAGAATAGTTTGGGTTGGAAGGGACCTTAAAAATCATCCAGGTTCCAACCCCCTTGCCCTGCATGAGGCAGGGACATTTTCCATGAGACCAGGTTAGAGCCACATCCAGCCCAGCCTGGCAAGATAAAGTTTGTTTTATAGTATTCCAGTGTGGGAAAGGATTTTTGCTGTCTCCTGATGAGTGAAATCACAGCCTACCGTGCTAAGCATTAGCACAGCTCAGGGTCACAGAGAGCTCCTCAGCATGGAGGCAAGGAGGCAACCCCCTTGCCAGTACTTTAGTGTGCTCTTAACTGGCCTGTCAGAGCCAATAGCACAAGACTGGTGCATTTGGCTCCCACATCTCACAGCTGCAATGCCAGAGTGCACACACTGGGGCTCCTCTCCATATCCTGGGGCTCCTCTCCATCCCAGCTCCTGAAGGGCAAACCCCCAGGATGCTGCCAGGGCCCAACATTCAGCAGGAGGTGATGGACAGCCCATTGCTCAGGGGTCATCTGCTTCCATGGTCCTTTCTCCTACCACATCCATCTGTGGTATCAGCCACAGAAGCCCCACACCCTGGAAACCCAGCAGCACCACAAGACACCTGCCATCACTCACATAGCAAGTCACATCTCATGTACAGTGCCACAGGTAACCTAAGGAATCCACAGAATATATTATAAATATCTTGAAATCTGACTGTAAAGCTTCGGGAAATATCAGATTTCAAGGTAGTACCTAAAGAACTACTGTTCATAACCAGATAAACACATGTAACTAGTTCATGGAATACTAAGCCTGAGGGTGAGAAGGGGAAAAAAAAAAGACAAGATGGATTAAACAAAGCAAGTCAGACAGATTATCAAGATCAAACAGATCACCCAAGTGAAAAGAATGAAGGGTGCATTGAAGAAAACAGCAGAACAGCCAGAACCTCTGCCTGAATAATGGGCTTGAAGCTGTAGGCACCAAACATGTCCCCACATTCAGGCAATAAACCTGCGTCTCCTGAGTGCCAACAGAAAATTTTAAAAATGTTATACTTCATTTCTACTGCAGAACAGATTGCTCACTGGGGTTCATCAAGCAGAGTGAAGGCTTTTGGAAAAAAATATTTTATTTACAATAAAAATAGCCACAAACTAACACATGTTGGCAGAATCTCACTGTATTTATTTAGCATGAAACAGTTTTTAAGCAGTATTTTTTATTCCCTGAATAAAAATGAAAAAAAGACCCCAACCCTACACCTTTTTATGCTAACAGTTAAACTGGAAGACTGAAACAGAAAGATGCTTTTTTACATTTCAATTAAACAACTGAAAACCTGCTAGCTCAATGTAAAAGTCATGATCTTAGGATCTTTGGGAAAGAAAGGGGAAAAAAAGAAAGAAAGAACATCGAAGGATTGAAGAAATATGTAAATGAAAGATGACAGAATTTAGTTGTTTTGGCCAAAAATACAAGCAACACCTAAAAATCTTTAAAATAAGCCTTTGCTGTAGTCAAATTATTAGCAGCTGCCTTTCCCAGCACTTGGTACTGCCTCCTGACACAGCTTGCTCACTCACTCGTCCAGTGCATGACTGGGCAATCTTTTAAAGCTCTTCTTAGTTCACCCTGTAAGCGCAGGGCATCTCGCAAAAGCGACTACATGGTCTGGGATCCCCACAAACAACTACGTAACTTCTCCAATAGTTGCACCGTTAATTACAAAGAAACCAAATGAAAACATACATAAAATGACAGTGTTATTGCGAATAAGCATTTTTTCCCTGTGTCAAGACAACCAATTTAATTGCAGATGCCAACTAAAAACCTGGTCGACACCAGCGTTGAAGAACGGGGAAGGAAAGGAACTCCAGCTCCCACAGGAGTTCTGTTTTCCACAGCCGTGTCCGTAGCTGATGGAGAGGGGAGGGAAGCTGGAGCCGGCGGCTCCCCACACCGCGAAACACCAAGCGAGAAACCCCCCGCGAAAACCTCGCGGAAGAAACTTCACCACACTTCAGCAGCGAGAAGTTTGGCCAAGGATTTTACGGACCCCTCGCATCCTCTCTTCGGTGACCCACCTCGCTCAGGGAAATCCTATTTAATGACAATCTCGCACCATGCGTGCCCCGCTCCTGCCCCAGCGGCTGCCGCCCCGGGCCCCCGCAGCCCCGGCGAGGCAGCCCCCGCCCCTGAAGGGCGTCTCCGCACCAAACACCGAGCCCACCCTCCGAGGACCAAACTTTCCGTGACAACACCGGAGCAAGGGCCCGGCGCGAAGCGAGCACCCACCTCCTCCGCCGCGGCCGGAGCCGCCGCCAAGCGCTCCGAGGTGGCCGCCGCCCGGCACGGCCCGCTCCGGCCCGCTGCGCCGGGGCCCCGGCGGCTGCCCCGCTGCCCGGACACGTCACTCAGCCCGCCGCGGAGCCCGCAGCGGCCGCCGGGAGGAGCTCCTGAGCGCCGGCGGGAGCCGCCCGACCCGGGCCCAGCCCAGCCCGGCCCGGCCCCGCCTCGCTGCGGCCACCGCTGCCGTCAGCGCCCGCCCCCGCGAGGCCCGGTCGGATCCCGGTTGGCCCCGCCGGTCGGGCGGGTCGGGCCGGGCCGGGGCGGGCACCGCGTGTCCCCCGGAGCCCGCCGCATTCCTGCTGCCGTACGTGACACGCCCCGGGGCGGGAGCTCATCCCGCCGCTCGCCCCAGGCCCTGCGGCGGGAGCCGCCCCGCGAGGCCTCGGTGCACGGGCGGAGAGCGGAGCTGCCCGGCTGCGGACACCGCGGGGACAGCCGGGTCTGGGGCTGAGCAATTCGGTACGCTCAGCCGCATGCTCACGAATAGCCCCTGAACGCGCCAGGGTACAAACTGGGCCACGGCGCTATTTTGATTTTAATCTAATTTATAACTAGAAATCCAGTAAGTTTTCAAATTAAACGCTATTTAGAGACGCTGGCACCTTATGCCGATTTTTTTTTTTTTGCATCCTTCTTGCATGCCAGTCCTCACAGTGAGCATCTCTGCAGACCAGCACTGACCTGCCAAGCACACGGCCGCCCAAAGCCCGTGCCACTCAAGCACGGAACGCTTGTCCTGAGAGTAACAGCAACCACTTGCACACCCAGCACTGACCATGCCACTTAGTGAAAGTGTAGAAAACCTTTACAAGATGCAATAATTTCGCAAATGTGTGCATCACAATATATCCATGTACACATCTGTCACACTTCAATAAAAAGAAACACTCTTAAGTACATTAAAAATTCTTAAATAAATTATAAGTCATTACAACTCTTTAATGTTGTTAAGTATCTGAAATCTTTGGACCACTTTTAGGAATAAAATCTTCGAGCTAAATGCTGTTCAAAGATCCATGTGTCATCCAGCAGTGATCCCTGCCTATTTAAGTAAACTCATTCTACAGTGAGTAATAAAATACACTCAGTAAATAGGAAATTCATTATCATTACAGGAAATCATTACTAGAAAATGGTGGCATTTGACGTTTGATGAATCCATCTTTTCCCTACATTTTCCCTTTGTCTGTAGTTTAACAACACAGATTTACAATTATCCAAGTCTTTGTGTGGGTTCATACAGTCTGAATCACAAAGTTTTTAAAATTATTCCTTTCAAAAAATGTTTCCATTTTCACAAAGTTATTTCTTTTTAATGCAGTTTATCATGACATTGACTCAAGATAGCTTTCATATAGATCTAATTGTCTTGTTTGCCATGTAATAAAGCAAACATGACAATTGGGCCATACGTCAAAGTTAAGGCCAGGAATACCATTATGGTGTTCAGTTCATATCCGAGACCTCTCAGGTCCATCAGAGACCATTTTACCCTGTTGTTTTTGTGATTTTTTAAAATATGTTGCATTTCACTCACACCAAGCTATCATTTCAGGAGCTGAATGGTAGGGAATCTATCTTGGGCAAACTGTTTAATAAGTATTTATCGTTAGAGGCCACTTTAAAAAACCAAGTACAGCTAGTTTGATTCTGTAATTAAAAATACCATTTACTAGCAACAACCTTCTCTTTTTGACACCTATGTCACAATCTATGTGCTTTAAATTCTCCCTCTCATAACTACCTTTCACAGATTCTTATCTTTCACAATTATATTAGACAAAATTGAAATCCTTCTTTAAGACTTTTTGTGAACCCTTTTGAACTTTGACTACTCCTTTTGATTCTGGTGACCATACATATATTCCAATAAATGTTGCTGTGGAAACCTTTTTGGATAAATCCAGCAATAACAGATCTACTTAAAACAACTAACTTTCAAAATAACTTGCACTTTCCTACTGTTTTATTAGGCAACAGCCTATTAGCAGTAATAATTAGCACCCTAATCATTGCAATCACAAATTCATTATTTATCCACCCATAATTAGTTATTGATAATTAGAGTACAGATAATGGCTGTCTCCACTGTTAACATGATGCTTTTTAGAACCAGATTCTAAGTTGATGTTTAAATTGGTTTCACTGGTGATATTTGCATGAGACCTCACCAAAATTTACTTGCTCTCATTTCTGATTCCTGAGGCTTCAGCAAAGATACTTTGCCTCCAAGCTGCTGCACATAGGTCATCTATCCCACACATCCTCACCATTCATCTACACCATCCACCTACTCCAGCCCATGGACCGGGCATCTTCAGGACATCATCATCCCTGGCCAGCATCCTGACTCCCTGGGACACAATGCCATGAAGGTGGGATGCCTTTTTTCTCACTCCTTGGAAATTGCCATGGTTGAATGCACACCTAAATTTATGGCACCTAAAGACATCATTCCAATAGCTTGCTTTCCAAAATACTGCATGAAATCTGAACAAAACAACTAAAACTTAAGTTATCAAGTTCCCAAGAAAGCCCAGTTTTCTCAGATTCTTCCATTTAACAGCTGATGTAGCTGGCACCTTTTCCTGGAGAGTATTCATCCACTGGAAATTCTGTTGTTCCTGTGTTCCCCATGAAGGCAGTGTGTCATCTGCTTACTGTAATCCCTCAGAAACCACTCCAAGCCAGGACATCCAATGAGTTTGCTTAACCTGAGCATCTGCAGAACAGACACTGGAGCCTTGCAAAGTTACAGGTCCCCTCTACTTTTCTTACCAAACCAGACTGAGTGACAGTATATTTTTTTATTTATATATATATAATACATACAATATAATATATATTTTTAAAAAATAAAAGCAAACCACAGTTTTCCTAAATTCAGACTATTACATCAAAAATAACATTTGGGTTTATAAAAACACTGCTTATTCATATTCTGTTTTGATGCCTACTGCTGACTCATCTTCCACATCTTCCTGAAGCACCAGCACCACTACTGGGAGACAGTTCCTCAGTTCTGAACACACTAGCACAGGTTAACCTGACAATTCAATTTTATAATATTGTGATCTTTTACCAGCACTAGAACGTCTGTCATTAATGCATTTCATTTCACTTTCCTTCTTTTACAAGGAGTATTTGCAAGTCAAATTCTCAGACTGCCAATTCAGACAGACCAGGTATAAATTTTCCTATATTTGAATATTTCTCAGGAGCAAAGCCCTTGTGTTACATCATCTCCTTGTTGTCATGGGTGGTACATAAGTGATAGTACAGCTGATGCCATAACTTCTTGTGATGGGTTGACCTTGGCCAGCAACCAGACCCTCACCCAGTTGCTCTCTCATTGCCCTTTGTCAGCAGGACTGGGGGAGAAAATAATATGGAAATCTTGTAGGTCAAAATGAAGACAAGATCCCTTAGCAACTACTGTCATGGGCCAGACTCAGCTTGGGGAAATTTTATTTTTTGTCAATTAAAATTAAAAATGAGATGGTAACAGAGACAAAACTAAAAAGACCCTCCCCTCTCTGTTCTTCCCTCACACCAGGCTCAACATCACTGCATTCCCATCTTCTTGGCCTCCTCCAGCCCAAGGGGCACAGTGGGATGGGAACCAGGGTTGTGGTCAGTCAATAACAGCTCCTCCCAGTGCTTCTTCCTCCTCTCATTTCTCCTCTGCTTTAGTGTGGGTGCTTCCCACAGGCTGCAGTCCTTCAGGATAAACCTGCTCCTTCAGGGCCTCCTCCGTGGGCTGCAGGTGAATCTGCTCTGGTGCCCTGGAGCAGCTTCTCCCCCCTCCTTCTTCACTGAACCTGATGCTTGCAGAGATATTTCTTTCACTTTGTTCTCCTCGCTCCTGTGCAGCATTTTTTGCCCTTCTTTACCTGTGTTTGCCCTTGGTGCCCTCGCCATGGCTCAGCCACGCCCTGCAGTGGGCAGTTGGATCCGGCTGAACTGGCTGTGTCTGGCTGTGTCCAGCCAGAACTGGCTGTGTCCCGTTGGAACTGGCTGTGTCCAGCTGGGGCAGCCCCGGCTCCCCTCACAGAGCCCCCGCTGCCACCACTGTTGCTAGCCCTGGGCACCTGCACCCCCAACAGTCACATGCACCAGTTGTTTCTATAACACAACATTCCTACTTTCAGTTATTTCACTGCTCTCTGATGCCTCTTCATCCTGAAGCTGATAAAGGGAAAAACTTAAGTGAATTTCCTCTCAGAAGCACCACAAAGCACTGAGGCCATGCAACCCTGAAAGACAAATGCAGCTTTTGGCCAAAGCAGAACTGTTCCCAGGGAAGGAAAGGAGGTACTAGTGTAATACAAGATTCTGAGAAAATTTTATATCAAATACTATGTACAACTCTAAGCTGCCAACACGTAGTAAAAAGGAATTCAAGTGGGAAAAGTGACAAGCAAAGAGTATTAGGATGGATTAGGAAAACAAAAGAGTAGATCGATTTGTATGCATGAATATGCAAAAGAGTCTCCAGGGGTACAAAATAATTATGTAAGATAAAAAGGCAATGATGACACAAGAATAAATTACTTTAAATTAGAACAGACTTTAGGCTCTTTCAGCCTAGGGCAATATAATGCTTAGCCTAAAAAGTTTTTAAACTTAGCCTCAACCAGTATCACAGTAATACTCAACACAATGCTGAGAGAAAAAAGGAAGAGTTGTAGCATCAGAAAAACTACATCTTCAATATGTAACCACAACCTGGTCAGCAGTATACAATGTACCAACCAGTTCCATCTCCCTCACCCGAAAGTCTCCTAGCTTTTTTCGGATTTAATTCTTAGTCCTTAGGAAGGCTACTGCTGCTTTCCAGGATACACTTTCTTCCTGTAAATGTGACCCACAGAACAAGATGAACAAGCTCTTGTTGGATGCTATATGCCTACTCTATGCAAACCTCCATGCAAAAGTACTCTATGTACTTCTGTAGTTTGTCTGCATGACTTAGTTTTTCAAGGTATCATAGATTTGATACCTTGA